CTATTTCTCGTTGTTCGCTTTGTGTTGCCGCAGTATTCGCCACAATACAAACAAAAATGTTTGCTTTCACTCAAGGTGTATTAAACAAGGTGGTGTTGGGGCGACAGCTGAGTTTTTCGCCGTGGAGGCCATTACGTCAAAATGATGTGTTTGTTGTAACTCATACCGATGACAGTATGGACATCAGCGTATAATTTGTTAGTGTAATTTTTTACTTATATACGGCCAACACCACCTTGTTAAATACGCCTTGCTTTCACTTATTCTTTTTTTAAGAAATACCAAAACGAGAGTCTGGCAAGCCTGATTCTCTCACCGCTCTCAATTTCCGTAAGTTACGTTAAGTTGCGGAAATTGAGTCTAGAATAAGTGTATCATATGTGTCCAAAGAAAAATATCTTTTGAGGCACCTGCTGCAAAAAAACAAAGCTTGTCAAGATTATTAAGAAAATAATTCAAGATCAGTTCTAAATTTCTAAATTTGCCAAAAGTGTGAGCATAAGTACTTACTCTACAAGCAAATAGTACACTATACATTGAATATATTGTGCATAGAGAAAAATTACTGGGAAGTTAAAAAACGTAATTTTTACACAAAAAACGCCCAAACTTCAATAGGATACAAAACACGTCCAAATGACGTTAAAAATATGAACCTGGCAACGCTGTTGGTGAACAAGCTGAGTGTCTCGCATGATTCAATAATAAATTTTTTTGAGGTTAGGATTTTCATGCATTAGTATTTGACAGATCACGTGGGATTTCAGACATGGTGTCAAAGAGAAAGATGCTCAGTATGCTTTGTAAGGGTGGGTAACTCTGTAAATTTTGGTGTGCTGACTCAGTAACTCCAAATCACTTTAATGAGTCAGCACAGAGAGCTGGCACAAGTGTGCTATCGCACAATTGGGATGTACATCGAAATTTTTGATGATGTTAGTAATCGAAATCGATTTAGAAAAGATTATCTTTAGCTTCTGTTCAGCTGGCCGGCAAAATTTTAGAAAGATGATTTCAACCGGTGAGTTCATTTGCAAATTAATTCCCCTTGGATGTATTAACTTCCAGCCCAGTTA